AGAAAATTACTTTGTCATATCTGACTGGTTCAGAAAATATAAAATCCAATTCTGTAGCACTGTAGATAAGGGAAGAGCTATGGAAGATCCATCAGCTTAGCAAACACTAAATAATGAAGAATGCAGAGACTGCCCAGCATGATAAAACACTCTATTAGTGAGACTGTTTTTAAATGAGTGATAATTGTGGCACATCCACAGGAAAACATTATTGAATTTTTATCTATAGAAAAGGCCTTTTTGACAGCCAAACTGAAAAGCCACCAATGTATATTCTCTTGTTCAGGATTCCCTAAAACAATTCCTATACCCAACCAGCTCTGCCTTGTGGTTTCTGAACATTGACAGCTATGTCCACAAACGACCCTTTTACAGCCAAGGAAGCTTTTCTGGGAAAGCTATCAAGTTTCTGTGAGGAAGGAAAATGGGGCCACTACCACCACTTGTTGGTGGTTATTTTTCTGGTAATGACCCCAAAATTCTGGATGCAGTCACTCACTAAGGCCTTTGGTGATGCTGAGTGGGATTTCATCTCAAATCACTGGGACAGAAAGGTGCCTGCGGAGAACCAAGACCTGAACCTGTGCCCTCTTTCTGATGCTTTGTCACCAGTGAGAAGCAAGGGGAAGTCTCCAAATGTTGGGAAAATGAGTTAAACTATAAGGTGATGCACAGACACTATAGAAAATACCAAGATCAAACCACGACTACAGTTAAGATGCACACTGAATCATTTTAACATGACAGGGAGCGTCACTTTCACTGTTATTCAACAGCAATTGTTGAATTTACTGGTGCTTTTGAACGTTGAGCTGAGGTCAGCTCAGTATTCAAATCAAATTGGTCCCCTGTGCTTTTTCAGCAGTGCTTCTATTGAATCACCACGAGGCCCAACCATTCTATTGGCCCAACATATGGGGAGCATATAAGACAAAACCCCACCACTGCTACCAGCATCATTACTGCTCTTGTTCAAGCATGAACACTTCAACACAACATCTTGTCCAAGGAGAAAAATAAAGGAGAAGGAAGAGTTGCTCCAAGGATTGTAACAACTGCCATCTGTCCAAAGTCAGCCACCAAAAAACAGAGCTGGGCGACTAATGGCCCGTCCACTCAGGAATAATGAGCCATAGATTCCAGTTGCATTGCACTGCAATACTTGGGTTTCATCTGGGCATGTCTTAAAATCAAAGTTACTGATGCCAAAATGATAAAGCTGGCTCCACTTCTGGCAAGCTGAGCTTGAACTGGGTGGGCTCCAGTGCGTGGCAGAAACCCTCTTTATTTAGCTTTACTTTTGGTTAGGTTATTTCCCTTCTTCCCACTCTTCCCTCTCATTCGTATTTATTCACCCCATCTTGCAGCAATCAGATGCTCAGAAATTCAGATGGTCAAAACAGCACAGAAGAGATTCGCTCGTGTGACAGCTGAGTGGAATGTTATTAACACTGCATGAACCTTTGAAACAATAGGCAGTTCTCCTTTTTCCTCCTCCCAGCTCAGTCCCACACTTGTGTTGCCCTTCTCCTCCAGACCAGGTGGGATGGAAAGAAAAATCTCATCTCGTTTTAACTCTGTTCTTTATTCTTTGTCTGCTTCCCCAAAAGAATCACAACCCTCTGTATATCACTGCAGCTTGCTGGGTTTGTAAATACATTCTGACTTATCCCACCACCTGTGCCCCATGGCATCACTTTTTACTTCTCCCATACAGATTGCAATCTGTGTTCCATTTATGAGAAATACTCCACCAGGTTTCATTTATAACCATGAGGTCAATAGCCTCTATCATTTTCTAACCTTGCTCCTTCTTCCTCTTGTTTCAGATACTCCTGGCATTTGTGTACAGACATTTCAGCGTGTTGGTATGAAGTTATTACAAAGGAAGATGAATTTTTATTGTCAGGAGGATGCTGCTAAGTAAAATATTACACTTTGTACTTTTATTTTTATTCACTGCTGTGTGCAACATCCTCTTGGAAGCTTGAAAGTCATTCTCATGCCCTTTTATGTTTGGAAACATTGATTTTTTTTTTTATTTTTATTTTTTTAAATTTGAGTTTCTACCAGAAGTGAAATTATGAATGATGGTTTTATTTCTAACAGCCTCAACTCCTCAGCCCCAAGAACTCCTCTGGTTATAAATTTCTGGGAAACTTGGCTATTGAATTTTAATAGCATTTGTGACTGTCTTTTTTTTCTTTTCTTTTTCTTTTTAATAATCTTTTAAATACACACTGTGAGAGCACAGCAGTTCTTTGTCTCACTCAGGTATCCAAAACACACAGTATGGCTTATAGAAATAGTAAAACTACCCATTCTATTTTGTTAACTGTCAGCTGATTGTAGAATCTTAATTATCCTTGTGGATCAGGGACAGCTGGAGTAAAGAGTTCAGAGGTCCTGCTTTATGCCAAGTTATAAGCTATAGGAAGCACTGCCACTCAACCAGTGATGCTCTCTTAGAGAATCAAATAAATCCCAATACTGTCACAGAAAAGCAGTGTTGTCAAGGGGCAACTATTTTAACTGAGATATAACACCATCTTTTCTTATCCAGCACTTTCAGGTTTCCCCCATCGCTTCCCCAGAAGTGATTTTTCAATGCCCACAGTCCTCAGGAGGCATCCCCCAGTACTCTGCTCTTCTAGAGCCTGTATTTGTACAACAGACTTCATACAAACTTCAGGAATGCCAGGTATCCTCACCACCTCTCCTTGTGTGCTGGTGCCCTAAGAAGCTGTGTGGAATTTGTTATGTAGTGCTTTCATCTTCTCTGGATCATTCCCAAAGAGATGACCAGCGTGGTTGGTGGATGCAGGTGAAGAAGTTTGCAAAACATGATGATTTCATACTGTGTTAAGAATGATTATGGGGTCTCTTCCAAGTAGAGTTGATGTTGGACTGGTAGAAAGCTGCTTTGGACTTTCCAAGCTTTGTTTTGTTACACAAAAGTTTAAGATGGGCAAAAGTCAGCATGTCTGACATATAGACCTATGAAGATACTGTTAACCTAAATGATTAACCTAACCTGTACACTTATGATTAAGTCAATAGCTACAAAAATGTAGATGTATAACCCAGACTATCAATTATTACTGATTCTCTTCAATAATTGTATCTATGACATAGTATTACAATGATAAAGATGCTTCTTTCCACAGCTAAGCTGCACATAGGCAAGTTCAATGGAATGCTTTAGTGGGCATGGTGGTCATGGGCTGATGGTTGGACCAGATGATCTTAGCAGTATTTTCCAACATTAATGATTCTATATTTGTAAAATTCACTGTATTATATTATAGGGATCTAGGGAAATGTGAAATGCTATAAAAAATGCACGACCTCCTCCCCAGGGAGAACATCTAATAGAGGATGACTATTGGGAATGTCTTGATAGGCAGCTGAGATGCAAACCCTTGGTCCTAAGAAGAACTTAGTTCTGTGTCAGCTCAACTAAAGGTGAATCCTTGCGAGATATAAGGATATAAGGAGATCTGTTGCTTAACATATAAGCAAAACATTATAAAATTGATAAAAGTGTATGGTATTGATAAAGTCTTTCTCTTATCTAAAAGTCTGTTTTAAGCAACCAGAGGATGACTGGAAGAGTGCACTGCTGGAGGGCTGATGAGCTACTGATTTTAAACAAGGGGGAAGAATAATAATCACACTCAGCTGCATCCCATGGGCTGCCTTGCTGCTGCTGCTATGAAATGTGACAACAGCAGCTCTTAGGTCGAAGACATCACCTTTGGTATGATACTGCATTTTGAACACCATCTATTGACTTTCACTACACTGAGGCACTCAGCGATGTGCAAACAGCAGCTCTGTCATATTGCATACGGAATATTATTCTTAAACAGCTTTTTTTTTGTGTGTGTGTGTGATTAAAACAGCTTAATATGCTTTTGTCAGAGCAGCAGAGCTGTGCTCTGTTTACGTTGAGCTCCACTTCTGGACACAGCCACAACCCTCCTCTGGTGACCCTATGCACACAATGCCAGTGATGGTGATAAGAGAAGAAGCAACACCGATCACGTCTCTGACACTTCCCAGACAGAAAAAAATCCCTATTCTCAGGGGGAAAGAACTGAAAGTTGAAGCAAAGAGAAGTAAAATGATCTCACAAAGGTAACACCAGCAATCCCTGACAGCCAGGAGCAGAAGTGACATCTCCAGGCTCCCCTGGCTCTGCCCTCCCTGCCCCCTGGTTCACCAGGGGCTGCTTTTGCCTTTGCAGACTGAGCAGCAGTGCCCCCGTGACATGCACATTAGGGTATTCCTCGTTAAGAGCTGCTCAGTTTCTCCACTGAATTTGTAATATGTATATTTTTAAATATTCAGTGATCTAGCAACGCTTGAAAGAAATTGAAACCTGTCTCAGCACTGTGGAGTGTCATTAGCAGGGATTGCTGAAAAGCTCAAGCCTTGAAAGACCCATCAGAGCTTCTGCTAGAAGTGATGCTCCTGGCACCCTGGCACCACAGGCTGAGAGATGTCACACCACAGCGTTCACCAAGAAGAAAGAGATGGAGCTGCTTTGCTTTCTGCTTTCCTCTGACATAAGCCACCTTTGAAATCAAGAAGTCAAGATGCTCCCTCCTGCTAAAAAATCACATAATTATGCTGGTTTCCAGCTCTACGACAAAGGAGCTATGAGTGTGCTTGCAGCCCAGAAGGCCAAGCACATCCTGAGCTGCATCAACAGAGGGGTGGCAGCAGGGCAGGGAAGTGGTTGTCCCCCTCTGCTCTGCACTTGTGAAGTCATATCTGGAGTCCTGTGTCCAAGCCTGGGGCCTCCAGCACAAGAAAATCACTGAGCAGGTCCAGGGTAGGCCACTAAGATGATAAGAATCCCATTCCATGTATGGAGCCCTGGGCAACATGGTCTATGGGAGGTGTCCCTGCCCATGACAGGAGGCTGGAAAGGGATGGGCTTTGATGTCCCTTCCAACCCACTCCATTCTGTGATTCAGTGCTTCTGTACTTACTCTGGGCAGCTGAGAGGTTGGAGAAGGCTGCCTTGGTACGGCCTGCTAACCACTCCAGGCTCTCGTGCATGTTGGCCAAGGCCTTGAGGTCGCTGACGTCCCGCAGGATCTCCTGTTGGGGGATGAGTTTATCTCCCAAGTTGCCAATGAGAACTTCTGACTCTTTGCCGAAAGCAGCCCTGAAATGCAAAGCAAAGCCACCCTCAGACAGACAGCACAGGTCAGCAAGTGGGAGACACTGGTTCCACTGTGGAGGTCAAACTACCCAGTGCCAAACATCCCCAGGGCAGGATCTCAGGAAACTCGTCTTGTGGAAGTTAACAAATCTCATCAAAGTGAATAAAATACATCATATTATGCAGATCCTGACCTCTCTGTCTCGGGGAATGTTTGTCTACCATTCTCCCTTCACCCACAGTCTCCGAATTTCATTTCATTCTCAAGCCTCATCCCAATCAATTCCCGCACCCTTTTTCCCCAGCATTTATGCCCTTCTCACACATGCAGGTGATTTCAGAACCTCCTTGAGGTATACAACAAAAAACTCACTCGTGTTTTTCACCCCTCCCTGTAAATCAGCTCTTCTAGTCCCTGAGTCAATCTTTTTCATACGTACATCAAAATACACCTCCTGCAAAGTGTGGTGGCTTATCACGACAGAGAAATGATTCTGGATATTAGTCAGTGCATTGTTTTACCTCCTCAGATAACAGTTGGTGAAAAATGACCGCCAAGACAAACGTGTTCACCGCACAGAAACTGAAAAAGCTCTTTCAAGGTGCGTTGCCACTCACTCCATCTCATGCTCCATCTATTGCACTGAGAGTTAGCTTTATAATACTCGTCATGAAGCACTTCGTCTGGCAAAATACCAAAGCAACTCCATTGCTTTTGCAAGCAGGAGGAGCCCTCTTCTTTCATGACTTTTTGTGTGCCATTAGGATGGAGAAAATCAGGCGACAGCTCCTCCATCTGATTACAGTAGCCCCTGGATGAAACCAAGAGCGTTTTATTGAATGGCAGCACGCTTACCATGGTCCTCAGTACAATGTTCCCATCATTAGCTGCTCTTTTTAGGCATTTGCATTCCACTTTCGTTCAACACTGCAAAACTTCACTTCCTGTCATTAGCTCCTTTATGAACTTACAATGAGGAATCATGCTGCTGAGCATAATAGCTGCAACGAACTGCAGCAAAATAATCCCATCAGTGACATTTTATGTACTATCTAAGCAGCTTTACTGCCAGCATCTCACTAGATTTGTGGGACTTCATTGTCATTGAGGAAAAAAAAAAAAAAAAGAACAACCCTGAAATGGCTTTAAGTTGCTCAATGCAATCCATTAGTGGCAAAAAAATAAATAAAATAAAAGTAGCCTTCATTAAAGTATCTTCGAGGATTTTCTTCTCTTTGACTACAAAAAATAGGTTGCTTTAGGACGTTGGGTCCTGCAGTTTGAGAGGAAACCTTGCCTATTAGTTGTGTTTGAGGACTGAGACACAGTAACATCTTGCTTTATTTGCCCAGGGAAGGGAGGAATCACCATCCCTGGAGGTGTTCAAGAAATGTGGAGCTGTGGCACTGAGGGATGTGGTTTAGTGGCCATGGTGGGGATGGGCTGGTGTTGAACTTGGTCACCTTGGAGGTCTTTTCTAACCTTAATGATTTTGTGATTCTGTGAGTAGGCATACTGGGAGTGGATTAATGGCTAGACTGGATTATCTTATGGGTTTTTTCTAATCTCAGTGATTTTATGAGTTTATCTCCAGCTCCAGTGCAATATGGCAGTGGTAATTCAGCTGGTCTCCCTCTTCGTAAGATGGGCTTAATAAGACTTTCTGGTGACTGGAAATAGATTAAATCCTCAGTGCACTTCTGGGAAGGTCTTAAAAAGCTTCCCTGCCTGGGCATTTCTAAGATACTAGTGAGAGGCAGCAAGGTTTTGGGTAGTGGGGACAGGCTGATTGACTCACCAAAGTTCCAACCCACAGCTGAATGGGGTGGTCAAGCTCATAGCCAGGCTTGACCATTTTTTGCTTTGCAGTGGATGGAGAGGTTCAGGTTGGATAGTAGGAAGAACTTGTACTCCAAAAGAATGGTCAGGCACTGTAACTGGCTGCCCAGAGTGGTGGTGGAGTCACTGGAGGTGTTCAAGAAACATGGAGATGTGATACTTAGGGACATGGTGTAGTGGGCAACACTGATGGTAGGAGGGCAGTTGGACAAGATGGTCTTTGAGATCTTTTCCAACCTTAGTGATTCTATGATTCTGGGATCATTCATTCAAACCAAACCCATTACTGGCTTTTACAAGAGGCACGAAACACCTCGCTCAGCTCTCCCACCTACTTGCATTCAGATGTCCTCTTCTGTTCCTGGGGAGCTGAAGGCATTTCATAGGTGTGCTTTTCCCACCCAAGCTGAACCACTCCTCTTGATTTACACTATCAAATGCATCAATTACTCAGAAAAGTTAAGAAATGAAACATTTGGTGAATTTCTATCTTCATTAGCTTTCCAATACAAAGCACAGTAGAGAAAGCACACGTTTGTGAATCATAATCTGAGAGCTGTCAAATGTGGACTCACCGACATAGCACTGCCCACAACCATGCTTAGAAGTTGGGTTTGCTCACAGGGACAACTCTACTGCCTTCCCACACGCAAAAAGGGTTTGGCACTGCTCTGGATGGATAGCCTGTGCATGAATAATACAGTGCTTCCAAGCAGGCTGGAACAAAAATGGAATCTATGTAATACAAAGCCTGGTGTATTTTCTATTTTTACTCCTGGGAGGAATAGGAATAAAGTTTTCTACAGAAAGCTGTACTCCAAAACGCTGTTGGGATAAATGGAATTCTGACTCTCTTACATAACAACAGAAGTTTGTGCCAAACGTACAGCAAATATATTTAATTGTTGGGTTGTTTCTTTTTGAAATACGGATCCTCGGCTGCAGAAACCTCAACTCCCTTTCACACAAGCTGAAACCTGTAACAGAGACAGCTTTTAGCAAGCAGCTCCCTTTTAGAAGAGGACTTCAAAGTGTCCTCATGGATTCCGGTAATTTAATTTTCAACCTACTGTTAGCAAGTGCTTCCTTGAAGCAAACTATTTGGGATGCTTCCTTCAGAGAGCTTTTGCTGCATGTGTTTGTCTTCATTAAATTTGCAAAGCTAAATGTTTAATGATAAGGATATATTAAAAAAACCAACTCAAATCAATTGAATATTCAACCTCAACTCTGAAAATTAGAATAGCATCTTCAGACCTTTGATTCCCACTGTTTTTCAGCCAGTATTTTTTCAGACACATTTCAATCTAAAAGCATTTCTCTAATATAGATACAGAATACAAACCAAACTGCAGCCACTTTACACCTGTAACTTACAAGTTTTGGATGGTTCAGTTGGTACCTTTGTTTTGAATTACCATGACTTTGAAAACTCAAATCCTGTTCTACCTTATCTACAAATTTTCCTTTGGATTTTGCCAAAGCTTTCCAATAGGAAAAACAAAAAAAGACACTTCAGGTTTTGGTGAGCACTCAGAGATGGAATTTCCAGCAAGAAAATCTCATAACCAAGCAGATCATGATGGAGTGTTTTACAGAAATGGAACAAAAGGCAATGCTCCACTCTCCTGCAGTTAATTCAGGTGTGTATAGACTGATGCTCAAGACAGAGATTAATATTGCATATCAACTATGCAGTAAATAAAGAGAATTCAGGTATATTTCTGCACTGCCCAGCTGTTTCTATATGGGAGCTCTTTAAGAGAATGCAATGCTGGTGCCCACAATGCTTTGTTGTCTTTTTGGTCTTGATTCCTATGTGATTTGTATGTGCCACAAGAAGGTTCACTCTTACATCTCTGCTTTGTCAGAGGACAGCTATGCTAGCTAAATCCTTGGATTAACAAAGCACTTGATTTAGTTTCCCTTTGTTAAGCCATTAATTTCCATGTACTTTTTTTCTCTCTAACACAGTGGCCAGTGACATATCAACACCAGATGCACTCTGTTCTTATGGATGCTGCCCAGAAAGACCAGAGCATCTCAGCTACCAGCAGCGACGGGGAGAAACTGTGATTTCCTTGAACAGTTTTCTAGACAAATAATCTTCCCTTCTTCTCCTTCAGAAACGAAGAGCAATAGCAGTGCATTTAAGGGATGAGCTGTTAATAAAATCAAACAACCTACTGAGCTGAACTGACTGGAAACACAAGGACTGATGACAGCATATGAGGCTTTCCCTCCCAGCATACATGGGAGGACGAGAAGTTTGTACACTAGGGAAGAAGGGACAGGGAAGAGCATATGTGATAAATTAAGATGACCCAGGTGACATTTAAGGCACTCTGACAGTGCCAGAGAAGAGCTGAAAAGCAGCCAAGTGTCCACATCAATATGGCAGAACGAGAAAGGAGGTCTCTGATGTACCTTGGCAGCGGCTTTGCATTCGCTTACTGCTCCTCTCTTCTTTTCTCTGCCAAGAAATTAGCTTCAATTATCCCTTCTGCAAATAAGGCCAAGGAAGAAGCTCCCTGGGTGGCGGCATGGAGCTGCAGGAGGTGGGGAGGCAGTAAGAACCTCCCCTTGGGATGACCCCATAAACACACTGACCCGATGAGGACCTCCTGTCCTTTCCCACACCTTCCTGACCTCAGAGAGATGCTCTCCATTGAGCACTGACTGCTTGCAGAGAAGAAACAAAGCAAATTTAAGGCTAAGAGCAGCAGGTAGAGATGTGGCTGTATGGAAATATCCTAAAATTATCTACTGAACCATTAACAGGACAAAGATATTTTGTTTTCTATTCCTGCAACTTAGCCATTGAGTCAGTGCTTTAAAACTGTATATAGAAACTACGCAGGCAGATAGACCTCCCCTGAATCAATTCAAAGAAATTCTTATTCTGTTCTTATTTATAAAGCAAAGGAGAAAAAAAAAATGGCTTGTTGCTTCATATTGCACCGGAATTTGTTCAACAACCATAAAGAAATTGTGCAAGCACCAAAACAAACAACCCACGTGGGTTAATTTCTGCCCAAGAAGCCATCCGTAATGATTCGCCGCCACCAGAACAATAAAACCAAGCCCAGCCCTATTTCTACACAAGCTGTGGTTTCACTTGTTTCAAAGATTCAGCACCTTGAGGTATTTTAAAAATTCAGCA